CTTTTCTTATCCTAACCTTTTCTTTACGACAGCGTGATGCACCTGCGCTGTCGACTACTCCACGAACTCGGCAAGATGACAGACTACCAGAGTTCCGAGGGTCACAAATACACGGGTGGCTTCTACCAGCGAAGACATGTCTCTACCACCCATCTTCACGCCTGGCTTCCATCCGTGTCTGGAACTGCTCTGTGGCCAGAGGCGAAATATGATGAAAATCGGGCGCTCACGTGTCTTATTCGGGCGTCATCGTCCAGGAACTTTCCAGTACCTCCCGTCTGGTCACCACCCGTGGAACTTTTGGCGGTGTAATAGTATGAAAGTCGAAAACGTTACGAGATAAGGGCGCCTTACGCTGCTGTCGAACAACCTACTACACAGCTGCACGGATGAGACTGTGATGACAGTATCTGGGAGATATTGAACATCACGCGGGCGCGATTTTGGTCATTCGAGAATCTGATTGTTGAGCGTTGGTTTTTGTCTGACCATGTCATACAAGTCTCAAGATACTCCGCATCCGAGAATCTGACCATATTCTCTACACCCAAGAATCGTGAGTCCGCCCGTCAGAAATTCTGCGCCTAAGACTTGTGCAAATGAGTTCTTGTGCTCGCAGCACTGAACTGTGGGGAACTAGGCATGCCACTTCAGAGGCTCTTCACCACGACGCGAGCACATGTGTACGCGAGCTTGACAGCCGTGTCGATTTCAACCTATGTCCATGCCCGCCAGTATCCTGAGTGTATCGAACGCGTCTTTATGTCGAAACCGCGCAAATCCACCCTTGCCTCCTTCATCGCCCCTCGAGTATGATCGGCTCACCAATCGTGTTTCGGTTCTGCCTCTACGCAACACCTTTGGCACATCATACACCTTGTTGAGCTTGCCGAATGCATCATGCCCATGTCAACCACTCCACCCGCATATACCGGCCGGCCTTGCTGAACTGCCTGGGGCTGATCAGGCCGCGGCTGACGACCAACTAGAGATGAACCCTCTAGGGTCTATTCATGACCTCAGCTACCTAGCAATCCGCTCGACCAGATATTTGACAACTAAGCTGGGCTGACTGTGGCAGCCAAGTCCACATTCTTCTGAGTGATCACTACCCGCGCAAGCAGAGATGCTCCTTGCACCCCCGGCGCCCTCAGATAGCTCTAGTACCAAAGCAGAACCTGATTTGGAGATGCAGTGGTCTCCTTGAGGATGACCACGATACTGGCAGCATACCGGTCTTGTGGGGGCAAAGGTACCAGTGAGCTTGATGATGGACCGTTCTCCATCCCGCAGCCTGCTGCTCCAGCATCCGCCATGGCTCAATATCCTGCAGCCTAGGTTATACATATGTTCTATTGTAGTCTCCCGTCATTCAATGTGCACTTTTATGTGTCGAACACGAACGAACGTGAGCTCTGAGGCTCTGTGGGCGCCATTCTGTTGCGGGGAGATCTCGGATTGGGGCGGATTTCGCATTGCACAAAATCATGATTTCGGTCGTACGAATCTCAGACGAAAACCAAGCCTCAAAGATCACGATAGTCCGGATCCCAAAATTTGCCAGATCTTGAGCTCCACAGTCTCATCCGTGCAGCCGTGTAGTACTCTTTTAACGATCATGATCTTATCGAAGAAACGACCGTTCAAAGCACATTAATGCGGAGCGTAGGTGAAGGCCTGAGACCAAGCAAGCATTTCAACTTCAGCACGTGGCTCAGACGCCTGAGCCGGGTGCTTGCGGCACAAGCGGCCGTTACAGTAATGATCCTGGCTCTGGACCATCCGATTCCCGCTGGTCGGTGTCTGTCCTAAACACTTGATAGACGGCTGAATCCTCTCTGCATGGTTTTAGATATAGCCCGCTCACTATGCGAGGACTTCATAGCTCACATCTATGGCTGCCCGCGTTTCGTCAGACCCGGATGCTTCCTTGAGCGCACGGTACTTTGGCAGCGCTTGTAGATCTGCGTTCTCGTGCCCTTGGTTTCCGCTTGCCCCGAATCAGGTTCACACATACGAAAGTCACGTATCTCAATTTAACTGGAGCGTCTCCTTCCTATTTGCACAACTCTCCCTCTGACTCCCCTCTGTACGAGTCGGAGCCGCTTTTTGGCCATGATCCTAACGCGATCACTGCTGCCCTCGAAGCGTCCGCGGCTCTAGTCAGGAACGGTCCTCTGGTCACAGATTTATGTATCAAACTAGACAAGGCCCTCCTCAAAAGGGATTTCCAAGCAATTATGGAGCTGTGGCCGCGACTGCAGGAGCTAAAGCCTGCAACTCTCAACATGTTGGAAATACGTCCGTACTTCCGGAACTACTCTTACAAATTCGAGGACCTGCACGTCCCTCAAGACTTCTCCGACCAAAGGATTCACTCGGCACTAGACGACCTCGCGGCTCACAGCGCCGCCGCCAGTTACATTCATGGCGCCGTCGTCCAAATGGACTATCATCTCAAGCGGCGAGAACACGATGCCGCGCTTAGCCTTACGCTCAAATGTCATTACATGATGGAGGCTCGCGATTTCCTGCTCACTGACCTGTTGAAGAGATCTAAGGACGAGTACGCTTCCATCGTACACGCGTCTGACAGGCATTCGGTCAGCGCAACCCCCAAATTCTTGGCCTTGGTGATTGCAGCCTGTTTCATGAAGAATGTATTTTCCCCTCTTCTACAACTTGGCATATCTTCTTCCGGCAGAAAATACCTCCCGACATTTCACGCCCTGAGGCAGGAAGCGGCCGCCGCCGCAGGCGCGTATGGGTTGCCCGAGAACAAAGTAGTTCACATGGCACACAGAGTCTGCAATTTATGGCTTGCGGCATTGGCGGCGTCTGACCTTCAGAAGTACTTTGG